CTCTACACTAATAGGGTCTCAGGAGTTAGCTGCTCTAACTTTCCCAGTCCCATGAGGCAGGCAGTGCCTGTGTTTTACAAACGAAACTCAAGTGTGGAGCTCTGAGTGACCTTGTAGGGTGGAGCCCAGACGCAGATTCCAGCGGCTGTGTTCTAAAACCTTACTTAGGTTCATGTTGTTTATGACCATTGTTCCAGGAACCTGCTTACTCTTTAAATGGAAGAAAGAACAATGGTTAATTACCTATGCTTGTCTACTGCTGTAGTCTCTTTAACACGGACATACGGGCCTGGAGTTTACTGAATATTTCATGTCTTCCATCCCAGAAATTTGGGATTCTGGTCCCCACCCCATTACCAACACCTCCTAAAGCTGTCTGTCCTGACTTCCTCTTGATCCAATGTACTGAAGAGTCCTCTGTTACAGACAGCTGTGATTCACAGCTGGGACCTTACTATTTCTCTCGGAATTCAGCTTGGAGCCAACCTGCAGCCTTATCTTCCTTTAGGCCCACACATATCCAGCTGCTCTTTTGCCTCAGGGACAAGAGACAGTGCCAGCTTGGTGAATGGGTTTAAGGGGTTAAGCTTCTAGTGCACTGGATGGAAGAGCCTTGGCATGTCTGGAGCAGCGTTGTCTCTGGACCTTCCCTGTGGGGGCTCTGCAGAGCTGTGCTAAGGCCTCATGAAGGCTGCTAGGGTTGAGAGCACCTGGCAGAGTTGACAAGGCAGAAGGTCACTGTTTTATCCTTCATTTTTAGGCTGGTGTTGGGGTTCTAGTCAAAGAAGTCTTCACAGGTGAGACCCTGGATGCTTTGGGGCACTAGTTGTTGGCCCAGCAGCCACTCTAACCCAGAAATCAGGAGAATTCCCCAAGGACGTTTCTGTGGGCTTGTTCCTCCCCCCCCCCCCCCCCCCCCCCCCCCCGCTGCTGGTCGCAGGGCCTGCTAAACCTGTGCTGTGGCCCTTAGTCCCCCTGTCTCCCAGGCTTCGGGAGCAGGGACTTCCTCCTCGGCCTCCCTTTTCCATTTGGGCGGGAGAAGCCGCAGTGTCGGGGGCACCGGCAGCCTTCTCTGTGGCTTGGACCATCTACCTCTCTGTACCCACTTCCTCCTGTGGAATGTCACCCATGCGCTGATGACCTCCACTGCAGGCCCAGTCCTGACACTTGCACTACTCCGAGGCTTCTCTGCTGCCGATCACAGGTCCGGAAGGCTAGCACAAGCCCAGGTACCTGAACCAGAGCCACAGTGCTTTGCTCCTTTATTGGGCTCCATATTGGGTGGGGGCAGGTGGGTGAGATTGTTTCTCTGCCAAGCTGCTACTGCATCCACCTCCCGACCCTGGGAGGTGCTGGGTGAGGTGGGGAGCGTGTCTCTGGGATGCTCCTCTCGAACCCTGCCTCTAGCTTCTGCTGAGAGTGATTCTGGTGGCTGATAGTTGCCCGGGCCTCACCCTCTTGGCAGCCTTGGGTTTCAGTGTTTGGGAGTCAGGTGGGGACGAGCTGACTTCCCACTTGCTTTTTAAGACAAGCATTTGCTGAAGGTGGGCAGAGAGTGATGTGGAGGGGGACTTGGTAAGCAGTAAGCAGGACCGCCACAGAGCGAGGCCATGGTGAGGCTGGCTAAATGGGGGCCCTTTGGGCTCTTTGTCCTTCCCCACCATTAGCCTCTGCCAGCAGCCTGATGGGTATTTTCTAGGCGGGGCTCTGCGCCATGTTTGGTCCTAACATTCTTGTTTATTTAGTTGGGTGTGAAGTTGCGGGTGAAGAGAGATGGGCGTGAGCAAGCAACCCAGACGAGGACCGAGGACCGCAGTGGGTGAGAGGGCTTCCCACGGCTTCAGTGTGAGGGAAGCTTCCTGAGGGTGTTAGGCGAAGGAGGCCACTCACAGGCCTAGCTGACAGCGCTCTTTCTTATGGGAGCACAGCCATCGCTAGAGTCTCCCTCGATGCTGATGCCACTCTCTTTGTTTCTGAGGTCTGAGACCCAGGCTTGAGGAGGCAAGTGTGTAAACCGGGGCCTAGCAAGGGGACAAGCCGTGCTTCAAGGCCAAGTTCAAAGATGCTCATTCAGGATCCCTTCATCAACCACTGTTACCACGTCCATTGTTCAGCCATGACACTTCTGTCTTCTCTGCGGACCATCTTCTCTTTTGCTCCTTCGGCCTCTGCTTGACTCAGAATCCTGGGCTTTATGCTACTTTCTCATGCGTAGGAAACTCTAGAGTTCATTTTCAGCTCTTTCTCTGGCTGTATTGTGTTCGCCTTGTCTTTGAGCAAGGGGTTGGGAGGCCTGGCTTCATCGTCCTACACACAGCCCCTACAGGAGTCGAGGTTAGGAAGAGATAGAAAGAACTAGGGTGGCCACCTGCTTTGCCCAGAGCTGTCTCCGACTGAGTTAGCAAGCACAGGGACCCTGCTCACCAGGGCGGGCTAGCGAGGGGAGCGGCTGCACACACATGAGGGTCTTGCACAGGGCTCCACTGTGCTTCAACTCATGCAGTCTGGAAAGACAGTGGCGCCCAAGACCCGGAGCAAGCAGCTGTCTGAGACGACAGCAGCCAGGTGCAAGCAGGGCCTGGAGGCGGGATTCGAGCGTTTGCTTCCATGTCTCAGGCCCGTTCTCTTCACCCTCCACAGTGACTCCTGGAGATGACCGGCTGAACAGTTCCCACACTCGGAATGGTGTGGCGAATGAGAAGGTCTGGAGCCCGGCAATGCCCCCCCCCCCCCCGCACACTCCCAGCTGTGGGATGTTTCTCTCCAGAGCCGTTCTCTTGATTTCGCAGGCCACCTCATCTTCCTTTTCTTGGCCGGGATTTCCATCTCAAAGTTGGAGCCCTTGGGAGTCAGACTCAACTATAGCCAAAATAATAATAATTTATTGCATGAACACATGAAAAGAGGGCACTTAGGAGAAAACACCCCACGATCTGCCAGAGAACAAGTCACTTGTAACATTGAGTCATGAGCTTTTCTGGCCCTGCTATGCTTCCTTCAGGTTTTAAATAATTGTGTCCATGTGGGCAAATCATTATCATATTTTTTTTCCTGAAGCTTGGGGTTTATTCTTTCTCTTCAGTTTAAAGCATTTATTAGTGCATTTTGCATGAAATCCACCAGCTGTTTTGCATCTGGAAACTCACACAAGCTTCTGTTGGACTACACGAACATCTCCCGTGAGCTTCACGCCAGGCCTCCCGCTGGGGCCAGGCCCTCTCAGAGACCGAAGGTGGCCCACGGCTCATTCACTGCGGTCCCCACCATGCACAGAGTTTGAGAGCAACCCTTTAGGAACTTGCCATCATTGTTGCTGTTTTCACCGGGAGAACAATTTTAACCAGGCGCAGATGATACTAAACCCAAATTAAGGGTCTGTTTTGTTTTCCTGTGGTCTTCACACACGCCTCAAAGGACGACTACTCTTTTAGCTTTTTACAAAAATATTGTCACTGTCAGTTTTGAAATATTAGGACAGAAGAAAATCTTTTTGGGTAATTTTCCACAGAGTCTAGGAGATAGTAATATAGGGAGATGCTCACAGACTATTTCTCTCTCTCTCTCTCTCTCACACACACACACTTTTGCACCCAAGGACAGCCGTGTTACAGCAAGTGCCTCCGCTCTCCTCCCAGCTGTGGTCCAGGGTCACCAGACACCCCGTCATTTCATCCCGGATCTCCCCGACACACCCCGAACAGCCCAGTGCTGCTTCTTAGGAAAAGATCAGCCTGAGATTTGAGGAGAAACTGTCCAGGAGTTTCTGACCGAGATCTGAGAGATTGCTACCCTTCCATCTCTCTTGAGAGATGAATGATAAATGAGCAAGTTGGGGGAGTTTGTCCGCACTGCAATTTCAGCAACACATAGGTGTGAGGTTCTTAAGCAGATGCTACTGGCAGGCAAACACTCCCCTCCCAGGCTCGGAAGGTACCCAGCCCAGCAGGCGCGTGTGTATATATAGGGACCCAGCCAGAACCTTTCCAAGGGACTCGCAGCTCCTTCCCTCTGCTCTCTGCCTCCTTCCAGCTGGGTGCTTGCTCCCTGTGCCTCTGGTTGCCCCAGCAACCATGAGCCACCAGTTCAGTTCTCAGTCTGCCTTTAGCTCGAGGAGCAGGCGGGCCTACAGCAGCAGGTCCTCCTCCGGCTTTGGCGGTGGGAGACAGGCTGTGAGGTCTGTGGGTCAGTCGCAGGGCAGGTGGGGTGCTGGCTATGGGGGGGGCTTCAGCTCCAGGAGTCTCTATAACCTGGGCGGCAGCAAAAGCATCATCGGGAGCCTAGTGGGGAGAAGCGCCAGCGGTTTCCACCAGGGCAGAGGGGCGGCAGGAGGATTTGGAGGAGGGTTTGGGGGAGGAAGAGGCTTTGGAGGTGGTAGCTTTGGGGGTGGCTATGGTGGAGGTAGCAGATTTGGAGCTGGTTTTGGGAGTGGTGGATTTGGCGCTGGTAATATGGGGTCTGGGGGCTTCGGTCCTCCTTACCCTCCTGGGGGCATCCATGAGGTGACCATTAACCAGAGCCTCCTGGAGCCCCTTCATCTGGAGGTGGATCCCGAGATTCAGAGGATCAAGACCCAGGAGCGGGAGCAGATCAAGTCTCTCAACAACAAATTTGCCTCCTTCATCGACAAGGTGAGTACCTAGGGGCAGGTAGAGCCCCTGGGGCCGAGGGCAGGGTGTGTGTCACGCTACCAGAGTGCTGTTACTACGGTGTTTTCAGTTTGACGATGGGAGTGGCCTCCTCTGTGTGTGTTCTGGGACCTGGAGAAAACATTTAACCTAGGCTTTTATGAAGCCCCCCCCCCCGAGTCTCTCTGTGCAGCCCTGGCTGTCTTGGACCTCACTCTGTAGACCAGGCTGGCCTCGAACTCACAGAGCTCCACCCGCCTCTGCCTCCCGGCTGCTGAGATTAAAGTCGTGCAGCACCACTGCGCAGCTCACTTAGGTTCTAACATAAACATTTAATATCGACTTCTCAGGGATGTATTGTTTTCTAATCTTTCCCGATTAGTAGGAAGGCAGATAAGGGGTGTGGCAATACCCAACAGATACACGTGACGGTAATCTCACCTCACTCATCATTACCCACATTCCATTCATCTGTGTTCCCAGGCCTTCTCCCATTTAACCACCGACATCCCCACATCATCCTGCCCACCATCCATCCACGCCTATCTATCCACTCACCCACCCACCTACTCAAACACATCCATCCGTCCGTCCATCCGTCCGTCCGTCCATCCATCCACTTACCCACACACATCATCTATTTATCTACTCATCCATGCACATCTAGCCATCCACTGATCTTAGGTTCGTCCATCCCTTTATTCACATTCATCTCCCTATCTCCATCCACTCATCTGTTTATCCATTTCCTCACCTATTATATACCCATCGACCTATCTATACACCTCTATCCATCCACCCACCCACCCACCCTCATCCACCCATTCATTCATCCATCCACCCACCTACCCACCTACCCTCATCCATCCATCTGTCCATCCATCCACCCACCCACCCTCATCCATCCACCCATTCATTCATCCATCCACCCACCCTCATCCACCCATTCATTCATCCATCCACCCACCCTCATCCATTCATTCATTCACCCACCCTCATCCATCCATCTATCCACCCATCTACCCATCTATCCATTCATCCACCCACCCACCCTCTCCCATCCACCACGCATCCTCATCCATCCATCTATCCACCATACACCCAGCCACTCTCATCCATCCATTCATCCACCCATCTACCCACCCATCCATCCACTCACCCACCCTCTTCATCTATCCATCCATTCATCTATCCATCCATCATCTGTTTCCATCCATCCATGTATCTATCCACTCACCCTTCTATACCCACAATAACCACTATCTACTCATCCTTCTCCCTACATCCATACACAAAACCAGCTTAGGCCTGCATCCACTTCCTGCTGTGCAGTTGTAGGCGTGTCAGCCCACACATCCACCTGTCCACCAGTCTACCTGCCCATTTGTCCCACTCCCATTCAACCCGCAAATATTTTATTAGGTCTATTGTATGCTACGGTATACAGAAGCTATAGGGGTATCCAGGACATGAATTATGCCTTCAGGGAATTCCAAAACTGAATGGCTGAGAGTTGTGACAGTTTGTGGGAGATGTGTTAGTACGTGTGGTATTTTTGGGTCACAGTAGCTCAAGGTGCCATGAGCTGTGCCTGCTGAGTACTGGGGTGCTTTGCTGGGGATCCAAGGTCCTATCTGGAACTTGGAGATGGAAGCCAAACAGCTCTCCAGCAGGAGAAATTTCCATTCAGCAAGGAGGAGTGAAAAGTGTGACCCCTTCAGGGAATTTCAGAAAATGCCTGGAGGAAGGGGCATTGTGGTACAGCTAGAGAGGCAGGCAGCAACAGCCGGTGGGGAGCTGTTGGTGCATGTCGGGTGAGTGCCCTGAAGGCAGGCCTCTCCAGGAGCTAAGGGCAGGAGTGTGGGATGGGCCCCTGCCTGACAGGTCCTTTTCACTTCAACCGGGGTCAACAGGGGCTCTTTACCCTAAGTCACGCAAGGTTTGCTCATGTTCAGGCCTCCAGAAGAGGCTGACAGACAGCTGTGGTGAGGACCTTCCTTTTGGCACTTGCCGAGGGAAGCACCCCTGGCCACTGCCCGATATCAGGCCAGTTCTGGAGATGGGACAGTGTGTGAGCAGGGGGAGGACACACAGGGAGGGCCCTGGACAGCCCCAGGGGAGTTGATTTAGGATGAGAAACCTGGGTGGTTACCATGGAAGGTAACCTTCCATGGTAAGGTTGCCCGGCTGGAAGGTTTGCCCAGAGCAAGGACTTAGTGGCGAAGGGGATGCTCCCTGGAGGTTAAGGTTGGCCAAGGGAGGAGCAGGAAAAACTGACATCAACACAGTACCACAAAATTCTTGATATTAACCTGGGATTTTTTTACTGGGTCCAGGCTCCCACCATGAACAGAGGCCCATTTAGTTTCACAGCAGGAGATAGTGGCTTTGCGTTCTGCCTTTGGAGCAAGCCCTGTGGTGACTGTCAGCCACTGGGCCTCCAGTCTGGTAGGAAGCAAGCTTCTGTTGCTATAATTTCTCAGTCTGGCTTCCACTTCTCCTTTAGTACAGCTTGGCCTATTCTCACTGTGGAACCATCCTTTGAAAGGCCAGCACGCTCTCCTTCATAAACCCTCGCCCGAAGCCGTGCTTCCTTTGCAAGCCTCAGTCTGAGAAGGCCCCACTATGCCACTCTCACCAAACATCCCACTGCAATGGATTGTGGAACTGATTTTCCACTCACTGGGAGTGTCTCGCAGACAGTGGCAGGAATGCCTGGTGGGAGTGTTACACGCTGTGCTGATAAGCTGCTCTGAGAGCTGCTTGCCCAACCCCTTGCTGTGGAACGGCCAACCAAGATAAGCCGGAGAAACAATGTTCCCTGCACACATTCCTCTGACTAGAGTCAGAATGCTAAGGGACTATCGGGGCTGGTGGAGTGCGGGGCCTGGGAATTCTGGGTGCCTTATAGTGTCCATTATAGGCGTGTCTGCAAAGTGCCACTATGACCCCACAAAGCAGTGGGGTGTGACACCAGGGACAATCCATGCACTTGGCCCATGCGTGACCGCTCTGTGTGGCCAATCTTTGTCCCACAGTTTGAGGGGAAGAAATGTGACACATGGGGCCACGCCCACACTCCACTTCCTAGGCCAGCAAAGGAAATAGCAATTTAGTCATCTTTCAAGTATCTATCAGCCCAAAGTTCTTACTTGGGACAATTAAATGCATTGCAGGATTTTAAAAGGTCAAAGCACTTATCTTAACAATTCTGACTGGGTTAAGAGTAGCATTTAAATGAAGTTGCACTCTTTTTATTTTATTTTATTAATTACACTTTGTATCCCCCCATAAGCTCCTCCCTCCTCTCCTCCCGGTCCCACCCTCCCTCCTCCTTCTTCATGTATGCCCCTCCCCAAAGTTGCACTCTTTAAAACCATTGTGGCAGGCAGCAAGAAAAAAAAAAAGGTGGTGAATGCAGGGGGCACCCACCAAAGAATATCCCAAGACCTGTTGTTCCTTCTGTGTCTTTGTCCTCAGTCATGTGCAAGATTCCAATGGTAAAGACAAAGGAAAGGGTACTTGAGCATGTTGACACGGATGGATTAAGTGTGGGGACAGAGCTCTGTTATGGAAAGGGGTGTAGCTGGATGAAGCTGGCTGGAGGTGACCTCGGTGGCCGGAAGGTCCATCTTGAATCTCTGAGGTTTGGGTGTGACGTGAGGGCACGATGGCTCCTCCCGTGAAGGAAGCCGTGAAGGGTGCACTGGGGTCTTGCTCTTTAGGTGCGCTTCCTGGAGCAGCAGAACCAGGTGCTGCAGACCAAGTGGGAGCTGCTGCAGCAGGTGAACACCTCGACCCGGACCAGCAGCCTGGAGCCGGTCTTTGAGAGCTTCATCAGTCAGCTGCAGAGGCAGGTGGATTATCTGACCAGTGAGCAGTCTCGGCAGAACTCGGAGATCCGGAGCATGCAGGATGTCGTGGACGACTACAAGAACAAGTGAGGATCCAGGGCGGGCGCAGGGTCAGGGCACGCCCACCAGGGTCCTGCTGCTGCACCAGGGCCCTTCTGCTGCATTGCCAACAGGGAGGTGGGCCCAGGCGGCCACTTGGGCTCTGCATTGTGCAACCGCAGCGGGTTTCACCTGTGACGGCCCTGGTAGGAAGGCAGTGGCAGCCAGCTGTCAGTTGTGCGGAGCAGGAAATGCAGGAGACAGGCAGTGAGCCCCGCCTACAGGTTCCTCTCTCTGTCTGGAGCGTACCTTCCTTGCTGGGGCAGTGAGGAGCAGATCTGTGGGCTTGGAACTTTAGATTATCAGGTTTGTCACACTCTGCACCCCACTCCAGTGGTTCCGATCCAGGTCTGGATACAGCTGTGGCGAATGCATCTTGAGCATATTTCCAAGTGATGCTGATGCTAGCTAGTGCCCTGAGGACCACACTGAGGAATGTGAGATGAAACGGTTCTCAATAGTTCTCGGTACTGGAGCTTACTAGGCACCGGCAATAGTGGCGGGGATGGCAGGGGTTGAGGTTCAGACCTGCTGTCCATGAGCTTCGGTAGGCGCCAAGGGGGCTCTTCGTAGTCTTCTGCCTCAGGGAACAGGCGCTTCTCTTGACATCACCTTGACGTGCTCACTGTGTTGGGCCACTGGAGGGTCACGGGTGTGTGTGTGTGCGTGTGTGAGTCTACAGGGAAAATAAAGCTCACGTTGGAGGTCAGAGGTGAGGGCTGTAGGTGGACTGTTTCTCTCTGAAAACGTTTACTTGGAGTGGTTGGTACTTCATGGCCTTAACAGACAAAGCTCAAGGGAAGCAGAGTTACTACACCAGAGGAAGCGTGACCTCTGGAGACATTCTGTGCCTGTCTGAGCTTTGCGTGTTGGGTCCTTGTCCTGACTGTTGCTTAGGAGTTTTGGGAACTACCTTAGTCGTTCATCAGTGAGGCCAGAACGCCAGGCACTGGCAGGCGGCAGGCAGCGGTACTGTGAGCAGAGCTGCCTGAACCCAGGACAGTGGGAAAGTGCGGGCTTTCTCGGGGAGGGCAAACCTCAGGGAGCAGAGGTCAGCCCTGCAGCCTGCTTCCTGCCTCCATCACAGGTATGAGGATGAGATCAACAAGCGGACCAATGCTGAGAATGACTTTGTTGTGTTGAAGAAGGTAAGGGGAGGGGGGTGTTCTGGGGAGCTCAGGACTGGGGAGGAGAAAACCCCTGGGCATGCTCTGTGCTATGGACAGGTGTGCTCTGCTCAGCTGCGGGGCCCTTACACACAAGGGAAGGCACACTGGCGCTACTGTGGTCTTCCTGGGACTCCTCCAGGCTTCAGAAGTGGAAATTAAGTTAATTGACAGCTTTCCAGTATCAGTTATGTAACCTTGGGCCCTAGAGAGGGGCCTGGGGGCTGACATGGCTGACCCAGGTGTGGGGTGCTGTTTTTGGCTAGGAAAGTCAGATTCCAGGTCCCAGACCTGAGTGAAGCGATGGCATTTTTAGCCAGGAAGTAAACTGAGAGAGCATTTAGCACTGGCCTGGGGCCAGCCAGGAGGTTGGGGGTAGGGCAATGCCTGGGTGATGAAATCAAACATCTCTGCCACCAGGATGTGGACGCTGCTTTCATGGGCAAATCGGACCTGCAGTCCAAAGTGGACACGCTGTACGCAGAGACCAACTTCCTGAAGTATCTGTTTGATATGGTGAGTGCTGTCCCGAGGAGAAGCCATTTCCTTCCGCACATCCCGTCAGACCAGGAACTGGGGAAGGCTCATCTCACCAGCCCCCACGGGGCATTCTATTGGGGCAGCCGTTCCCTCAGCTTCAGTGGTCTGTTGGGGGCAATGCAGATGTGGGGAGTAGTGAGAATCTTGACATAGAAGCAGGTCCCTGCTTCATGCTCTCAGGCCACTTGGGACGTGAGGATAACAGCCGGGTCTTTACGCGGGACTTACTGTGGGAAGGCCGCAGGGCTCTGGCTGAACCCTGCAGAAGACAATAGAAGGGGTTTTGTGGTGGAGACAAGCCAAAGGGGAGCAGGAGAGTGTGCTCCCAATGCTCGCCCATCACCCGGGTCTAACCTGGGGTTCCTGCTGTGCTCTGCTTACCTTGGGGAGATGTCCTTTCAACAGAAGGATGTATGAACTGAGAGAGTCAAGTATCAAGTGCGTCCAAACTGGAGTCCTCTCCACTGGCTCTGACAGCTCTTATGGCCACAAGGAGCAACAGAGCAAGTGTCTGTCAAAGGGCTGTATAAAAAAGATGGGGAAGCCAGAAGGAGGCCCGGACAGCAAGGGCAAGAGAAGCATGATGGAGTGGGGGCCGTGGGGCTCCTTCCTCCTGCCCAGATGATGCTGTGCTCCGTGGCCTTTAGCACATAACAAGAGACCTTTCTCTCAAGAGACCCTTCTGGCCCAGGTGTCTGGCTTCCCCAGGCAGCCTTGAGGGAGAAGACTGAGGCTGGAGGGGAGGGTGGAAAGAGTGACACCCTGTGTCTCACAGGAGCTGTCCCAGATGCAGACTCACATCAGTGACACCAACGTCATCCTGTCCATGGACAACAACCGCTCCCTGGACCTGGACAGCATCATCGATGCGGTGCGCGTCCAGTACGAGCTGATCGCACAGAAGAGCAAGGAGGAGGCCGAGGCCCTGTACCAGACCAAGGTGAACGTGGGCCCTGGGTCTGTACCCCACACGAATGGGTACTCCTCAGCCGACTGCTATTGCCTCCTGGGTTTAAAGTTTGACGTCTCTGTGATAAAGACTTCCTCACCACTGAATATTTTCAGATAGTTCCTGCCTGTTTTATTTGTTTGTTTATTTATTAACTTATTTATTTTAGTTCACCCTTATGGAGAGCTCATAGGGGCCAGACTGCCTAATTTTCTAACTAAACCCAGGACTGCGATTTACAAACACATTCTTAGCCAGCACAGCATTTGTTATTTTTGTTCTTCATGATGGCATCTTTTTAGTCTCTTGTTTTTCTCTTTCACGTGTCACTCAGAAATCCTAGAGTCACTTTCTGTGACTATAAATATCTTACCCTGCTCTTAACAGGACAGGAACTTAACTGGGTGATCACATTTGTCACCTGCTGGGCACAGTTTTGACTGCCTCTTGGGTGTGAGTCCGGTTTTTGAGTGGTTAAGACTCTAGTTGAAGGACCGGAGGCCGACAGCCCAATCATTGAATCTGGAGTCAGGATTTGGTGACCTGCTCTGTAGATTTTGGAGTCCACTCCGGCGTCATTGACCTCTGTTCTGCAGTCTGAAAACAGACGTTCTGGGATGTCACGAGACAGGGGAAGGGGAGTTTTGTCAGAATGTATACTTTCTTCTCAGCTCTTCCTGAGGAAACCCTGTGTATAATCTAGTTGGTGAAGCAATGCTGGCACAGGAGAGAGAGAGAGAGAGAGAGAGAGAGAGAGAGAGAGAGAGGAGAACATGGGTGCCCTGAGGGCTTCTGAGGCCACGAGCTCCTGTCAGGGGAACCACTCTGGAAAAGGGACAAAGAATACAGTGGGTGGGAAGGAGTGAGGGAGTCCCAGCGTGGGTAATGGCTGTGTGAAGGCTGAGGTGTGTGGAAAAGGCGGTAAAGAACATTAAGAAACAGCTTTGTCTGGGTGGGCTATGAGCCTAGACTGGTGTACATGAGGGCGGAGGGAGGCTTGCTCTAGCGATACGTGTGTGTGTTCAAGCACATCTTTTTGCTGCTCAGCTGAGGGAGGTTTGGGATGAGTATGACTGTGCAGGGTCACAGCTCTAGGTGGCCTTTCTCGAAGAGAGTGCAGCACAGATCTTTCTCTGGGATACCCAGACCCTGCCCCTGCAGTGCGCAGAGTGTGACCCGCAGACACTGACCACGGCGTCTCTGACCCATAGTACCAGGAGCTGCAGATCACAGCCGGGAAACACGGGGATGACCTGAAGAACAGCAAGATGGAGATCTCAGAGCTCAACCGCAACATCCAGAGGCTTCAGGCAGAGATCGCCAGCGTCAAGAAGCAGGTGGGGCGAGCGCTTAGGGCAGGCTGGGTGCTCAGGGTGGGCTCGCCAGACGCGCCTCCTCCCGCAAGGCCCAGGCCGGACTCCGGGAGCTCAGTCCCCCGGTGGTCTCTGGAACAGATCGAGCAGATGCACGGGTCCATTTCTGATGCCGAGGATCGAGGGGAGCGCGCTCTGCAGGACGCGAAGCAGAAGCTGCAGGACATGGACGAGGCCCTGCAGCTGTCCAAGGAGGACCTGGCGCGGCTGCTGCGCGACTACCAGGCCTTGCTGGGGGCCAAGCTGTCCCTGGACGTGGAGATCGCCACCTACCGCGAGCTGCTGGAGGGCGAGGAGAGCAGGTGGGTGGGCAACAGCCGAGCCTCCGGGCGGGGGTGGGGGAACGGGACGAAAAAGGCTTCTCCACGTGCTCCCGGGAAGACTGTCCGGGTGAGCAGGGCGTCCAGGTTAGGGTGGCTAGCTCGGAGGGGCACGGAGGAGCCGCTCCGAGGCTGGCGCTGACCGCTGTGCTTTGATTCACAGGATGTCAGGGGCGCTGCAGAGCCAAGTGAGCATCTGTGAGTACCGAGGCTGGTGGTGCTGGGCGAGGAGGGGCTGGCCGGGTGGCCTGGGCAAGGAGGGGCTGGCCGGGTGGCCTGGGCGGCCTGGGCGAGGAGGGGCTGGCCGAGTGACCTGTGTTCTCTAGTCTCATACAAAGAACAGGAACGCGAGCAAGGGATGCTTGACAGCACGGGCTAGAGATCACGGGGATGCGCCCCCAATTAAGAACTGCGCCCAGAGGGCCGGTGGCTAGCCAGGGGCAGCGCGCCTCGCGTCAATGGGTGCCCGCATCCTTTGGAAGCGCACAGTTGCCTTCCAGTGCCGTCTGCAGAGTCCCCTGACCGCCCTGTCTGTCTGTCCTTCCCTGGCACAGCGGTGCAGAGCAGCCAGGTGACCATAGGCGGCGGCGGCGGCGGCGGCGGCGGCGGCGGCGGCTCTGGCGGTTACAGCGGCGGCTACGGAGGAGGAGCAGGCTCCCGCGGGGGCGGCGGCGGCTACGGAGGAGGCGCAGGCTCCCGCGGGGGCGGCGGCGGCGGGAGCTCGGGAGGCTACAGCGGCGGCTCCCGCGGGGGCGGCGGCTACGGAGGCGGCTACGGAGGAGGAGCAGGTTCCCGCGGGGGCGGCGGCGGCGGCGGCGGCGGCGGCGGCGCGAGCTACGGCTCCAGCAGCAGGAGCAGCAGCAAATACGGCGGCGGCGGCGGCGGCTCGTCGCGCACGCAGATCGTGCAGACCTCTACCCACAGCTCACGCAGGCGCGTGGTGGAGTAGGGGCTCCGCGCCGCCTTCTCCCCAGTCTCTCCGGCTCTCTCAACTACCTTTTCTCCCAGCGGGTCCCAGCAAGCTTCCAGGTCGCTTCACGCTAGGGGAGAAAGCAGGGCGCATGTACAGCCTCCGTTTCCCGTCAAAGCCACAGACAGGCTGCTCCCTCAGGCACCCCTCCGCTTGCTCCTACCCCTGCCCCGGACCCGGGGGCCTTGTCCATCAACGAAGAAAAAGAGCCTGGAGGACACCTTCGCTAAGGCCTCAGTCCCAGGCCCCCTTAAGCTGGGCAGTTCATTGAACAGTAACCCCCGAGGCCTTCATCCCTCCCTGAAGCCTCCCGTAAGGCAGTGTGCTTAGTGAGGGGACCTCTGAGCCAAGAGCCTTCAGGCCCCTGGCTCTGTGGCCTCACGCTGCCTCCCCCTGACAGCGGGGTAGGCTTGTTCTGATTCGGTAGCTGTGCGTCTTGCCTGTGTTGACCTGTGTCATTTCTGAGTCAACAGCCGCAGTCGGGCTGTCTGAGTGGGCAGGGGGTAAGTCCTTGTCCAAGGGAGGACTGTGCTTAGCAGTGTGTGTGGGGGGCCAATCAAGTTCTCTCTCCGCCCTTCCCTCTTCCAGCAGGCCCCTGAGTTCGGAGCCAGCCCCTTCCCCAAGGCGCTGAAACACAGATCACCCGCAGGGCAGCCCTGCTCCTGCAAGCAAGCGCCCCGGCCTGGGGAATGAGAGGCTTGTTTGGCTTGTTGTGGACTGCTCCAGCCTTGTGCTAGTGTGGAAATGGCCTGGGTTTTTGCAGGCAACCCCGACGCTCACTGCCAGACCTCCTAAGTCCCCTCTGTTCTGCGATTCTGAACTCTCTTCCGGGCTTTGTCTCCTGATTTAAAATTTAAAGCACAGTTGTGGCAAACTCGCTTGACCCATGCTGAGGGGGGCAGGAAGAGGAGAGCACCAGCCAATGAACGTCAGGAGAGAGAGGGAACGGCTTTGCTCCCAGTCTCCAGTCCCTTTCACTCACTCGCTTGCTTAACCCCTGCAGCCTGAGTCTAATTCCGCCAGGGAGAGCTTTTCTGTGGGTCCGCTGGGAGCGCTGTGATGTCAGTCCCTGGTTGGAAGCTGTACTCTGAAGGGCTTAGCAGTTCTCGTTTTTTTCTACAATAAATTTTTCTGTGATCTCAGTATACTGTGTGGTCAGAAGGCAAGTTATTATTTTGTCAGTTCTCTGAAATTAATTCGAATTTGAAAAGTTAAGACATTATTTGTGTGTGTGTGTGTGTGTGCATGTGTGAGCCGGTGTGAGTGCAGGTGTGTGTTAATGCGAGCTGTTGGTCCTTGGCTGTTGTCTGTCTTCTTTTGGGAGGATGACAGGTTCTCTTACTGACTTGTAACTCACCGAGTAGGCGGTCGGCTGGCCAGTGAGCCCTCGCACCCACCCATCTCTGCCTAAGCGGGTGCGAAGACTGCAGGCAGGTGCCATTGGGCCAGGCTCCTGAGTTGTGAGTTCTGGGAGATCAGCTTGTAGCCCAAGTGCTTCCTGGGGTGTTATCATTGGCCCCCATGGATCACCGTCTTCACGGCTTGTCATTGTACACGCAGAGCACCATCTTGGAGAGGCTCCCAAACTCTTGCCCTTGCTGACCGGTGAAGCTGCTCACCATGCAGAAGCTGCACATTTGTTCAGCGGGCATCTGTGCGGCTCCTACTGCTGCTCATTCCAGTTGCAGCCACACTGGAGGGAATCACCGGCAGCGGCAAAGGCTCTGAGATGCCTCGTGGAATGGACAGGCCTCCCAGCCTTGAGGTGCTGAAGCACAAATGACACGCTTTGAGGGAAAAGACAGTTCAGAGGGGAGAGAAAGCAGAGTGCACATCTCTCTGGGTCCTCCAGCTGGATGAGCAGAGGGGTCGGCCCAGAAAAAGAGAGGAAGTAAACAGGGAGGCAAGAGTCTATACTTAAAGCGAAAAGCCAAGAGCCCAGGCAGTAGCCAAGGGAGAGGCCGATAGACATCGGCAAACATAAAAATGATGGATGGCGTTTAGCTGTCAGGGAGAACACATTAGTCAACAGGGCGTGGCCACAACCGAAGACAGCTGTGGGAACCAGGAAGAGAAGAACCAGGAAGAGGGGTCCTCTAGACCCTTCTGCTGTGAGGTCCCCCTGGGGACCCTGAATGACAACTTTAGTAGCAGAGAGGAGCCTAGTCCTCTGTGACGAGGGCAATAGTGGTGGGCCGTGCCAGGTATGGCGGGGAGGGGGAGGACCGTGAGAGCAGCCTGGGTGGAGGGAGACAGGCTTGTCAGCTGCAGAGATTTGAAGAGCCTGCCTAGGCAAGAGGTTTGGCCCCAGCTGGTGACCCACATGCACAGGTGGGAAGGACAGCAGGCTTGGTTCCTTGTGAGTTCTACTTAGCTGCACCGAGAGGCCCCTGGGGAGTTATCAGGTCACAAGCCACTTGAGTAACTGCTTGGACTAGGCTGAGGGAAATCAGAAAGGGTGGTGGGGATGCTGCGCGGAGGCCTCCACACCCCTGCTGTCCGCACTTGGGAGGGCCAGGGGAAAGTAAGGGAGCCTGCTTTGTGTGCTTAATGGGGAGAATAAGGTCAGACACCAGGGAAGGCTAAGTCAAGGAGAGGCCGAGCCAAGTTTTCCTGCGGCACTAGGCCCTTTAGAGGGCGTGGCCTGGGATCACTCACATGTGCAAGATATTCGAAGGGAACAGGGGTGACTGTGGGAAAAGCATCAGGGCCAGGGCCAGGCGTGGGTCATGTTTCCCATCCTTCTTCTGGGCAGGAGTTGGGATTGTTCCAGAAAACGTGGCCCTGCCTTTTCTAACCTGAAAAGATGTGGCTAGCTTAGTCAGAAAGAAGGGGAGACCACGAAACAGAAGGAGGGAACAGAGGGCCCCAGTTCTAAGATTCTGGGCAAAGAGCTGCTCCAGCACAGGGGAGTAGGAAATGTGGGGAGCGGGAGGGGAGGCAAGCGAGGAAGGGCTCTCAGGGTCTAGGTGCTTACATTCTGCCAATGGGGAGTTGTGTAGGGCTTGAACAATGGCGACTGGCCCTGGAGGGCAGCAGAAGATGCTAGAGAAGGTTTCCTGGTTCGGCCAGTGAGCAGGTTCACCGCGGCCAGACACTATCACCTCTAGGTCATCCCAGTGAAAATAACAAGCAGTTCTATAAGCCATATGAAGCGCCTTGTTTGCGTCATCTCATTTGGTTCCCACCATCCCTTGAGAGGACCTGGAGACCCAGAGGGGGGCTTGGGAGGCTATTCCATGCCACTGAGTTAGTGCTTTCCCAATAGGCAGTCAGAAGAGCAAAGCTGTCCCCTACCATCCATCATCCATCAGGTACGACTGGCAGGAGCTAGTGTGGATCCCAGGGGAGCTTTGCCAGCTGCTCCTCCCGCCAGTAGGCTGTGGCAGGGCGGGCCACAGTGGAAAGCTAAATTTAATTTCACCAGCTTCTCAGCTGCAGAGATTTTTATCTAGGACGTGGTGAACAGGAGGAGCAGCCATTGGCTTACCACCGTCCTAACTCCATTTGACCTTGGCTGAGATGTGTGGGACGCTGGGAAAGTTCTCAGTCTAAGGAGGAGTCTGTGCCTAGCCCTTTGGCCCAGGAGGTGTCTTCAGATTAAAGGGCTAGGTGCTCCTGCGGTCCCTCTTCAAGCCCTCTGTTGCTCCCACGGCTTTGTTGGACACGCTGTCCTGGTTTTATCGGCTTTCCGATCAGTCCAGGAAACTGGGTGTCTAAATTAATCAATGCTCTGTTTCTGGGTTGGGCTGGGAATTTGGGCCTCTGGGAGGTTCTCCAGAATGAACAGTCATTTCCAAATGTCCCAGCGCCAAGCCTTGGAAGGCCTTTGGGGGCTCCAAGTTGGCTTCCACTCTGTTGCCCCAGTGTGCTGTATCTGTGGGGCTTGGCTCCACCCCAGGGAACAGGCATTTCATGGTTTCATCCAGGGTCCCTTGCTAACCCTGCCTGCCTGGTGGTACTGGCGCTGGCTGCTGGCATCGTTTCTATGGGATGCAGCACTATCTTCTCTATGACAAACGTATGGTCTTTACAAGTCCTGGGGCGTTTCAAGAACGGAAACCTTCCTTGGTATTTTGGACAACTTTCAGCAAGGGGTTTGTAAAATAAATAAATAAATAAATAAATAAATAAATAAATAAATAAATAAATAAATAAATAAATAACTTCCCAGCTATTGGGTCCTTCCAAATGCAAGAATGACAGACTCAGTCTCTCTCCCTCTGTCCATCTCTGTCTCTTTCTCTCATCTATATCCTGCAGCTTCCTTGGAAATAGATTTAGCTCCTATTTTACGAATGAGGAAAGTTGGTCTCAGAGAGGACTGAGCTGCCTAGGGTCATACAGCCGGCGGTGTGCAATCAGGAGTATGACACACACACACTCCCCACCCCCTCCCCAGTACAGACTGCGACAGCACACACTCCTCTTTGGTTTTCCCCCTCTCTGCCCTCCGCTGGCTCCCTCACTGCGCAGCAGTGATTCTGAGGACTCCTGTCCTTGCTGCCTGCCTTCAACAGGTCTGCCCTATGTGGGCGCCTTTCCATCCTGCTTTTAAAAGCCCCAGCCGCTCCTCAGCTCTTCGTCAGCTTTCAACATCTCACCGCGCCTCCCCATTGTCTGTGACTCCCCTGCCCTCCTCCCAGGCTTCGGCTGTCCCCACTCCCCTGAAATTGACTTCTCCCACAGCCTGGCAGAGTCCCACAGGGCTGGGTGGCTTGTCATTGCATGTTCCTCTTAATTCTTTTCTCAGCCCCATCCCTCAAAAAGCTCTCAAAACATCACCACACCTGCCCCTGCTGCGCCCCAAAGCAGTGTGGGGGTGGGGAGGGGCCGTGCAGATGTTCTGGAATGCTGTGAGCTTGTACTGATGAGCCCTCCATTGCCAGGGCCCATAAAGGAGGCTGAGAAGCCCCTAAGACACGGAGAGTTAGCACTGGCGATCAAGCCACAGACACACCAGCAATCGCTGGGCAAAGGGCTAAGGCAGTGGCCAAGTTAGGGGAAAGAGCCCAACAGAGTGGCAGCACAGTGTTAATCAAGGAAACCTTCCTGGAGAAGGTGAGGTCTGGGCCGACCAACCACAAGCTGAGTGATTACAGTGGTGTGGGAGACTGAAACCAGAGTCTAGAGCAGTAGCTAATCTGAATGTGAGGGCTTTTTTATGGTCCCAAAGCCTGTCTGTGAGGTAGAATTATTGGAAGGAGAAAAGGCAATGATGAGAGACAGAGAGAAAAAGGGGAAGAGAGCTTGTCAGTCCGGGTAGAGCAGAGGGAGGAAGGGTCACCATTTGAGGGCTGAGAGGAGAAAGTGTAGGTGATACAGACAGAGGCTGGTCAAGGTCCCGAGGCACGGGGCTTGCCAGTGACCTTCTGGAGGACCAGGACACACATTCCGACCTCTGTGGATCTCAGCCATCTTTTCTTTAGAGTGGGGCCAGGGTCTCTCAGCAACGCTTACACCTAATAGTGGTTGGCGTCTGCAGGAGTCTGGGCTCCACCTGGCTCTCATTCATGTCTGTGTGTTCTGAGTGTGGGGCTCACGCCTTTGTCTCACCGGCGTCCCAAAACATCCCACGTCCTAACACATCTCGCCATTGCCTAGCCTTCTCCTGTGGGCTGCCCAGGAAGCAGAGCTCATGGGGAGGTCTGCGAGTGGCTGGCACACACATGCAATGCACACACATGCAATGCACACGCATGCAATGCACATGCATGCAGACACCTATGCACACCCTCCAAAGTGCTAGAAGGAATCGATTGTGCAGAGCGATATGTCTCAGAGGGAGTGTGCTGAGCTGAAAGAATTTTGATTGCCTGTCAGGAGATGATTGGGCAATAGTCTTAGCACACCAAGGCCGCTCCAGTCCCATTGTTCTCAAGACCCGGATTACTCATTCCCTAAAGAGATGGTTAGTTTAGCAGCCCAAGGATGAGGGCAGCAGGACAGAGTTCCAGAAGACAGTGCTGGAATCGGGGGACAAAGACAGGCTGGGGCACCTCTTGGAGGAAGGGAGGGCAAACACGGGCGCAAGAGAAAGCTTGCCGGCTAGGTGTTGCTGAAGAGAAGCGGCTGTTTATTTTCAGCAGCAGCTAGGTTGCAGAGGATTGGCACAGCTCCCCAGTTCAGAGCTGCCAGGCACTGGGGCAGGATGGTCTTTACAGATGGCCCCTCTCCTCATACAAGCAGAGCTTGTGTGTGTGGGTGGAATCCCCACGAGGTCACAAGGGTGCTGGAGCTAGACGCCAGGGCAGGCTCCCGGAAGGCGTGGCCCACTCTGCGTTGAGTGTGCGGCACACGCCAGGCTCCTGAGATGCCTCTACATGACCCTCTGGGTAGGTTTCGGTCTTTCCAGGTCTCTGTTACTGCTCTCTGCAAATGTTGACCGAGTGCTGGGCTCAGGAAAGCCCCTGGCTGCTGAGAGGCATGGTGGTACTCAGGGATCTGGACAGGAGAGACCCTCCCTCGTCTTCAAGATCTGAGGGAATGTCCCCAAGGTCTTCCTGTCTGCCAGGAGCCAAAGGCTCGGAGGACAAAAGTCTTTCTTTCAGAACCCTCCATAGCAGGACGGTATTTCATGCTGCCCAGTGTCCCCCGGAGCTCTCAGGAGGACATGAACTCAGTTGCCGTGCCGACACACAGAACGAGTTATGATCTCATGCACTGTATGTACCCTCAGTTCATATCCCAGACGCCACCTCTGGAGACGTAGGAAGCTTTGCCGCCCTCATTCTTCACTTTTCTCATTTAAGAATGCATAGATTTAGACCTCTGTCAAAGTTGCTGTAAACACCGACCACATATAAACCATAAAACACGTCCTGGCACCAGCTTCCGTTTGCTTTAGTTCCCCCCCCCCTTTGCCCCAGAGCTGTTGTCACTGACTCTAGGAACACTGTGAACTTCCCAGGTCAGGATTTCCAGATTTTCCTAACTGCCTTCCCTTCCAAACCCACACTCATGTCTTCTGTGGTCCAACATGGGGTTTGAACCTGTCGTGCCTCAACTTCCCGCTTTGCTTTGCCACGTTCGAGGTGCCGCCTCATCTCTCCATTGCATGTGCTTTCTACGCTGGCACCTGCGACTGTTGCTTTATCTTTGGAAAGGAGCAACTAGGGAGCCTAGGAGAGAACACAGCATTCCCCTCGCTCACTGCAGACCCCTTTCTCCTGCTTGGTGACAGCTGTTCTTCTTGGACTCCGCCAGGGCAGCGCATTTGAAACAGTCTGGAAAACATTGGCTTTTTAGCTCTCAAAGCTTCTACTCCGCGTCAGGAGATGTGGTTTGGCGAGCTCTGGGGTTGGAAGGGACATCTCAGAGATGGACGGGAGCTCTTTAGGAACGCAAGCTCCTGAGATTGCACCTGCTGCTCCAGCAGCACGCAACAGCAGGGGAGAGTACGGGCACGCATGCCTTTGTGCCCCGGATTACAAAATCTGATCAAGAACACTCAGGAGCCAGAGTGGGGTCCTGGATTCTCAAAGTCATCAACACTTGAGGAGAGATCCTGTCTGATAAGTGATTACCACACGAATCAATCCTGTCTGCACAGCAATTTTGAGAGCACATCCTGGGAGCTAGGCGTGTGGTGTTTATCATATTGTTGAGGCTCGTAAAAATCTTGTATGGCTGCAGGCAAGCCAAACCCTCTGCAGGCTCTGCATCTCCGCTGACTCTGAGGACCAAGCCCAGTTTCCTCCAGTATATAAGGGCATGGCGCCGGGCTCAGAGCAGAGAAGTGCTCAGCTCCTTCCTTCCCTGTGTGACTTCTCTCTAAGCCAGCATGAGTCGACAGTGTAGTTCCAGGTCCATGTGCCTGAGCGTTGGCGGCGGTGGCAGGGGCTTCAGCTCCGGCTCCGCAGGCCTGGTCAACTTCCAGCGCCGGTCCACCAGCTGCGTGCGCCGCAGTGGAGGCGGTGGTGGCGGTGGGAGATTTTCAGGAGGAGGAGGAGGAGGAGGCTTCTGTGGGAGCTCTGGTGGCGGGGGTAGCTTTGGAAGCAGAAGTCTCGTCAACCTTGGAGGTGGCAGGAGCATCTCCATGAGCGTGGCCGGGGGTGGATATGGTGGCTTTGGTGGCAGCAGCTTCGGCGGCGGCGGCGGTGGCGGTGGTTTTGGTAGCGGTGGTTTTGGCGGTGGCAGTTTTGGCGGTGGCAGTTTTGGTGGTGGTGGCTTTGGCAGTGGAGGTGCTTTTGGTAGATTTGGAAGTGGTTTGGGGCCTGTCATTCCCCCTGGTGGCATCCATGAAGTCACTGTTAACCAGAGCCTTCTCCAGCCCCTCAACATGGAAGTTGACCCTGAGATTCAAAAGGTGAAGTCTCAGGAGAGAGAGCAGATCAAGTCCCTCAATAACAAATTTGCCTCCTTCATCGACAAGGTGAGTGAGCCTGCTGGGAGGGCAGGCCAAGCTAGCCTCTCCTAGGCCGTGAACTGAGGGCAAGACAGTGGGGTTAACCTCGTGTGTGTGCACTTGGCAGCTGAGAATGGAACACGGGACATGTGCTGAAAGAAGGCCCGGGGTGGTGCTAAGCCATGAGCGAGTCCTTTATTGGACAAAGGGAGCCTGAGTACTCATGTGGCTGACATCCTGTTGTTCTTTATTGCACTCTTGAACTAAGCTGGACTTACATCTGTTGACTGAAGATCGTAGAAATGGGGATAATGCAATTTTCTAGGGTTCAAGCAAGAAACCCACGAAGGCCTTCCTGGCCATGAAGGGGTTAACTCAGGGGGGCCCTGTGAAGTAGCAGGGAGGGTGGAGCAGATTAGCACCAAACAGCCTGTGCTGCCAAGGGGTCTCTGTCCTCTGCAGCCCAGTTCCTACAGTTACTGGACCAGGAAGGTCATTTTTAAAATACATGTATTCCAAGGTTTAGTTCTGGAAAAATTAAAAAAACAAACAATTTTTGGCTTTTCTGCTAATTTATCAATAATGTCAATATAAAATTAGCCACATCAAATTTCAAATCCAATTTGGTATTTTCCTAACACACCTTTAACTGTGTGTATGGCCCTGTGGTGTGAATTTCTCAAGTGTGGTGTGAATTTCTCAAGTGTCACATATCCACTGCAAAGCATCATTCCAGGAATTTTATGTGTGCTGTAAGTGGTAGAACAGATTTCTTCCTTCCAGGGCTAGTCTGCATTAAGCCACATGCTGGATTTTGCTCTGAAATTGATGCCAGCTTCTTCCTACAGCCCTTGCTGCCCAATATGAATGAAAGTTCTTTTTAAAAAGGAGACATTGGTCTTGCTCGGTGGCCATCAGACCCCATTCCTGTACTTTGGGTAATGAATGGGTCCCCTGTTTCCAGGTGCGCTTCCTGGAGCAACAAAACCAGGTGCTACAAACCAAATGGGAGCTGCTGCAGCAGGTAGACACCACAACTCGGACCCAAAATTTGGAACCTCTGTTTGAACAATATATTAGCAACCTCAGGAGGAATGTGGACTCACTGAAGAGTGACCAGTCACGGATGGATTCTGAACTGAAGAACATGCAGGACATGGTGGAAGACTACAGGAACAAGTAAGGAAGCCATGCGTTTCCAGAAGGCGATGTGCTAGGAATAGGACTTAGCATGTAGCCATGGCTTTCCCCTCAGTGAGGGGCAAATCAATTGGGCTAGACCAAGTCTTCATCTTCTCAGAAGGTAGATTCTGGTTAATGGTTTTAGTGCTCAGAAGCAGAGGGTGGTTGGGGTGGCGGTGCCTGTGAAGGGAGGCCACCGTAGGCAGTGATCCCTTTCCTCTAGAGCACCAAGTTTCAGGCCTCAACCTCCCCTAACTGTCCTACTGTGTTTTCCTACAGGTATGAGGATGAGATCAACAAGAGGACAAATGCAGAGAATGAGTTTGTGACCATCAAGAAGGTAAACACCTTTCTGGGGTGGAATCCATCTGTGAAACAATAGATAAAGGTCACGCCAGAGAGAAGCCATGTTGTGGAGAACCAGGTAGCACAGCTGCTGAACATGTGGGGAGGGCTGTTTTCTCCCATTCCCACGGGCCTGCGCTAGCGCGGGCACTCAGAGCTTCGCAGCTCTTGTTTGTTTCTTTTCTTCTCTGCACCTATAGTAAGTAGGGAGGCCAGTTCTCAGCAAGTCAGGCAAGCTCTTTGAGGTGTGAAGAGACGGAATAACCAAGAACTGTGATTTACCTGGGAAGAGAAGGAGTGGATCCCAAACCCCATTGAAAAGCCCCTTTATGGCTGGAGAGAGGAGGCTCGTCCTGGAAAGAACACGGCTTTACGGTACCTTTTCCCTCTAGGATGTGGATTCAGCTTACATGAACAAAGTAGAACTTCAGGCCAAGGTGGACACCCTGAAGCAGGACATCGAATTCTTCACAACACTCTACCAGATGGTAAAGGCTTGGATTTCAGTCGAGGCCACCTACATGGAGCACCTTGAGCCCGACCCCCCTGCTCTGCAGAGTGGAGGCCTTGCTTCCCTCCCCAGGCCCCCGCTCTGAGCTGTTTTATTTTGTTTTTATCCCGTAAGAGTCACTGAGCTGTTCCATCCTGCAGGAGCTGTCCCAGATGCAGACTCACATCAGCGAAACCAACGTCATCCTGTCCATGGACAACAACCGCTCCCTGGACCTGGACAGCATCATCGCCGAGGTCAAGGCTCAGTACGACGACATCTGCCAGAGGAGCAAGGCTGAGGCCGAGAATTTCTACCAGAGCAAGGTGAGCGCCTGCAAGCTTAGGCCGCCCTCCGGCCCGTTTGTGCGCCCCGCATGCTAACATGCTAACGGAAACTGTGTGTGCTCTGCAGTATGAAGAGCTGCAGATGACTGCTGGAAGACATGGTGACAGTGTGCAGAGCTCCAAGATGGAGATCTCTGAGCTGAACCGAGCAGTCCAGAGACTTCGATCTGAGATTGATGGTGTCAAGAAGCAGGTACGCTCAGATACACAGAATGGGGGGACCCTCGGGCCTTGCTCTGCTCTGCCTTCTCCACTCCCTTTGGGGACTGTGTCAGCTTCCAGAATTCAACTCTTACATGGGATACTCTTAGGGGAAATTTGTGAAGATGGCTAGCAGAGAGAAGGTGATGGTCACAGTGAACATCCTAGCCCACGACGAGAGCAGACCTAGGGATGAGGGGAGGTAGTCAGAGCTTTTAGGTTGGCACGTGGTGGCCCAGGAGAGCAACTGTAACACCTTAAACATCTTCTAAGGATGGTGGCTCTGAGTGCCTCAGGTGACATCAGGGACCATGTGCCCATGCAACGTGCTCTCTCCTCCTCAGATCTCCCACATGCAGCAGAACATCAGTGATGCCGAGCAGCGTGGGGAGAACGCGCTCAAAGATGCGCAGAACAAGCTGAATGAGCTGGAGGACGCCTTGCAGCAGGCCAAGGAGGAGCTGGCCCGCCTGGTGCGCGACTACCAGGAGCTCATGAACATCAAGTTGGCCCTGGACTTGGAGATCGCCACCTACAGGACACTCCTGGAAGGAGAGGAGAGCCGGTGAGCAGGGGTCCTGCCAGCTCGGCCACTCCTCAGGGATCGCTCTCTGGCTGCAATTTGTCTTGTGTTTGGGAAAAAAAAAAAAAAAAAAAAAAAAAAAAAAAAATTCACTCTGTGGGGAGGAAGCAAGGACTTGTATTTACAAGCCCAATTTTTTTTTTTTTCTTTTCTCTACACTTGTTTTTCTGAGTTGCTCTCTGGCTGCCTTTCCTTTCTTCTTCTGCGTCTGAAATGGAGCAATTCTCAGGGCTGGCCTGGATCTCTGGTCTTTGTGGCTGAGTTCCACCAGCCGTGGGGGTCTTGGCTGATTTAGGGAGGTCTCTCTCGGCTTGGACTCAGGCCGACAGCTTTGGGGGGCGCGAGTCTAAGGCGCTGCTCTCCCAGCGGGAGCTCTGGGGAGAAGTCTGGGCCACGCCCCACGGGAAGGGGGGCTGCAGCGCCCTGAAGGCTTGGCTTGTTTCCCCGCAGGATGTCTGGAGAGTGCACCCCCAACGTGAGCGTGTGTAAGTACGGGCTTCCCGGGGGTCTTGGTTGGGCGGGGAGCGCGCGCAGCGGGGCGGAGCCTGAGCGAGCCTCTCTGCAGCCGTGAGCACCAGCCACACCAGCATGAGCGGAAGCAGCAGCCGCGGAGGCGGCGGCGGCGGCGGCGGCGGAAGAGGCTCCGGAGGCAGCAGCTACGGCTCCGGCGGCGGCGGCGGCGGCGGCGGCTACGGCGGCGGCTCCGGAGGCGGCAGCTACGGCGGCAGCTCCGGCGGCGGCGGCTACGGGGGTAGCAGCGGGGGCCACAGAGGGGGCTCTGGAGGGGGCGGCGGCAGCTCCGGAGGCAGCCGGGGAGGGTCCAGCTCCGGCGGCGTTAAGTCCTCGGGTGGCAGTTCTAGCGTGAAGTTTGTGTCCACCAGCTACTCCCGAGGGACCAGATAGAGAGGTGCCCACCAGCCCGCTAGCTCTCCCTTCCCCCCACGACCAAATTTGCCTGGCAAGACCAAGATCAATTGCACCAGCCTTATTGGAGAAAAGAGCTATGGTTGATGGCACCGATTCAGCCTATTTCCCCCGCGCTTTCTTTTCCGAGTCCCCTGGTAGCGACTCCACTTTACGTTTTCCTCGAGAAACAGTTCGGAACTGCCACCACCTACATGACATTTCAAAGAGGAGTCGCTCCAGGGCTTCTTTGCCCAGCGCCCAGAGCACGCTCGGTGCTTCGGGCCGCCCTCAGCATCCTGCATCCCGCAGCACGCTCCGCTGCTTTTTGGTTTTGTACATAAGGTGTTTGCTAGTTTGTCTTTTGTGGAGCACCCTGAAACTTTCCCGCTTCGTTTTGCTGCAATAAACCGCATTTGAAATTCTCAATCTGTTTTGGTCCGTTTGTTTGTGTTGGCTGGGGCGGAGGGCGAAGGAGTGCTCTGTGCGACTGAAATGCGGCGCGGCCAGATGGCTCGTGCGTGTGGGGGTTGGGATCCAGGAACTTGAGTGAGAATGGAGACCGATCGGACCACTTCAATGAGGGGGGGACCCCAGGCCACAAGCTCTGTCCTGGAAGGTTCTCCTGGCGGGAGAAGGCTTTCTTAGAAGGAGCAGGTTGGGAAGGTGTCCCACATTGAAAAGGTAGGAGAGTGCTGCCTGGAAAAGAAATTGTTCCTGTGGAAGAGCCAGTGATGAGGCCCAGCAGCCAACATGCAGGCTTTGGCCTGAGGAGGGGACAGAGAGGCAGACAGGCAGCTTTCGCTCTGCCCATCTCTTGCGGACCACCAGCTTTGCCTCATCTAAGAAGTGCCATTCCAGGCACACAGATCCAGGCACACACACACGTGAAGTAGCCAGGGCACCACAGGGCGAGGAGAGGGGAACTTGGGTGCCTGGGCTGGAGTCTTAACTAGTTATGTGGAAACACAGAAATTACAGGTCTCAGTTTCAGCAGCTCTGCGCTGGGGTGTGGAATACATCTCCCTCACGGGGGCCATTGTGAGGACTGAATAAGGTGGATGAACCATAGCTCAGCCATAGTGTACAAACACTAAGTACCTTTTTAATGATGATGATGATGATGATGATGATGATGATGATGATGATGGTGATGGTGGTGATGAGCTAGCCATTGTTAACATTGCTTGTTGAACTCTGGACAGCCCAGTAAATTCTTGTTTAAAAGAACCAACAAACTGCCACCTTCCTGATGGTTCCAAAACCATGAAAAACTCAGTTCTCTAAACACCGTTTTCTTAGCTTCCTGTCCCCAGGGTTAGGCAGGGCTGAGGATGAGGAGGGTTCAGATAAGCAGGGGTAACATGTAAATAGCACTTAGGGAATTCCCTCTCCTCCTGGTTCTGGATCAGCTCTTCCAGGGCTCGCTGTGTCCTGACCATGGCACACAGGGTGCCTTGAATGCCCTGTGTTGCAGCCAGCAGTCGGTTGCTTGTCTTCCCTGCAGGCTTGAGCCTCAACTATTCACTTGCACTGGTAAACCTGTTTAGGTTGGTTCCTGAAAGCAGAGAATTTAATCCTTTTGCTAAACACGTAGCAACTGGCCCCTGCCCCGAAACACATTTCTTAAGCTCTCACACAAAGCTGGCTAGCTCGGGCATTCCTGGCTGAGTGTTCGGAGAGGGCCAGCCCTCACCTTGCTGTGTCCTTCAGGACATCCCCACCCCTCGTTACACAAGCCTCCCCAGTGAACGCTGCGACTGGCGACTGGCGACTGGCTGCCCATCGTCAGTGATCTGTTCTTTGGAATTCTGACTGCTCTGGACTTGGCCCAGCTTGAAGACTCCCTTTCGGGAATTTCCTGCTGCTGCTTTTGAGGTCACTCCAGCTTTGTCTTCAGCCGGTTTCTTCACCAGATGTGTGGCTGCCAGGATGGATTCAAGAGTTTGCAAAGTGTTGTGAGGCAAGGAGGAAAACGAGGAGCTCTGATTTACACCAGCTGTGTCTAATCCGCTCTGCTACTTAAAGGGCAGATGAGGAAACATGCCTCACAGCTTCCAGGATGCGTAGACCCTTGAGTGAGCGCTCTGGCTATTCCGCATCTCAGTTGTCTCTTACGTACAATGGATAAGAGAGCGTTCGCTTTGGCCACCAAGAGAATAAAGCATACAGCTGTGACTGTTACACAGAAATTGTTAGATGGGTTAGTGAGGGCCTTGCTGCACAAAGAGGAGCAAGGCTCAGGGTTAGGGTCTGCAGCGCCCACGTGAAAGGCAGGTGCAGCAACGGATCTCTGTAATGCCAGCACTGGGAGGAGGTCTGGAGACAGGAGGATGTCCAGGACTTCCTGGCCAGCCAGCTTGCCACACGGCCGAGCTCTAGATACAGTGAGAGGCTCCGTTTCAAAACATAAGGCAGAGCTCTCCTGAAGAAGACAGTGCTGACCTTTGAACTCCATAAGAATGCTCATGTGTAAGCTTCTACACGTGCACCAACAAGAACACACGCACAAGGCGTACGCACTCTGAGAAAGGGCGCAGGAGGGGAGCAGAAGCTGGCAGGCCAGGGCAGTGCTGTGGGGTGCTGGGACCCATCTCACCCGCGGGATAAGGCTGAACCCGCTCCTGACGACTGTGTGAACCAACTGTGGAAGGAGTGGGGTGTGGCGCTGAACGCAGGCATTAGCTTGTGAAGTAAAACCTACATTTTCACTGACTGAACTACCACAGCTACCCCACCTTGCTCTGGAGGTACCTAAACTTCACAGAAGGTGCTGTGGTGCTTGTAGAGTCAGAGCAATGACGGCTGGGTGGCTTTGAGGGAAATGGGCTACTGTCTGCATGAGAAGAGCTGACCTGCGGGACAGCACCACGCTTTCAGGGACACCCCATAACCCTGCGCTTTAGTTGCATGCTTTAGGTTTCACGGTAGTGTGGTGGCCGTGTGTGTGTGTGTGTGTGTGTGTGTGTGTGTGTGTGTGTTCGTGTGTATGGGGGGGTGTGGAGGCCAGAGGTCGACATTGGTGGCTCTCTTGATTAACATATGTATGTATGTATGTACACACTGTGTGTACACATTAACGAGACAGAGGCTTATTGCCTCAGCTAGGCTGTCTGGCCAGTGAAGTCGGAGGTTCTGTGTGTCTCTGAGACCCCAGGGCTGAGGTTACAGGAACGCACTGCCAGGCCTGGCTCTATGTGAGGACTGGAGAGCCAAATTCAGTCTCCACGCTTGTACAGCTGTATTTTACCACTGAGACTCCTCCCAGCCACCAGGTTTCGCTATTATTTATCACATTTCACGATGTTTCTTGTTTGGAATTTGGTGTCCGGATTCAAGAAGTCACAAATAAAAATTTCCTGTACAAACGTATAATTCAGCGGGTAAGCCAAGAGTTGGGGACACTCTGCTGTGTGAAACATGGGTTTTGTTCCCAGGAGCCTTTGAAACTTGGGTTGTAGGAAGTCCAGAAACCTATTGTTAAAATACCCACGACCCAAGCAATGAGAGAAACACACCAGACACAGAGAATGACACACAGACATGAGAGTGATTAAAGGTGGCGTTTGGCAGGGGTTTCAGGGATGCTGTGAGTTTGTGGAAAGGAAAGACTCTTCAGAGACAGACACTCCAGGAAGAGGGAATAATCTGTGCAAAGGGAAGGAAGAGTGAAACTGTGTAAAGCATAAAACCAGCGGCAAAAAAACAAAGTTCAAGAGATTCCCCGACCCAGCTAAAAAGGGCCTGTCATACCCTAAGCAGCCTGGACTGTTGCTGTGGGCGGAAGTTCTCAGGTGGAGGATCGGGACCTATTGGCTTATTACAGGCAATACGGGGCCGGCGGGAGAAAAGGGATTGTGCTGCCGCCACCGCCCTGGGAAATGGGTAAGTAACAGGCTGTGCCCAAGTTCTCAAAGACCAAATTCCAAACAAGAAGCTGCTGAAAGATGGAAGGTAACTGTACTCACACAAAGCTAGCAGCTCGTGCCTGTGACCTCAGCACTGGGGAGACAGAGACAAAGGTCTCAATGGTCAGCCTGTGGGAGAGCTTTGAGTGGATAGAAACGGCCATGTAGCTGAGGAGAAGCTGGCAGAGGAGAGCAGCATGGTGACGTGGGGGGTTAGAAGGCTTGCTAGGGCAGAGGTTTTCATCGGCTGCCTCCCGTTAGAGGCCAGGCTCACAGCCAAAACGTAAGAGACTTTTCAATGTGCACGGTGTGAGCGGCGGCGGCTGTGTCTATCCGAGCGGAGCGCTGGGGACACTCCAGTGAACTCAGAGAATGCTAAGAGCAAGGCCACCCACCCTGTGGTGGATGCATGCTGGTGAGGCCTGGAGGCAGGACCACGGTCACTAATACCTGCCCTCGGCTCTCAGGGACCTCACTCCGCAGGCAAAAGCTCCAGGCGTCACCCAGATGTCAAGAGGATGTCAGGAAGATGGTTTTCAGAGCCAACCATTTCCTGTGCTGTGCAACCCCTCTCTGGGTGAGCCTCACCTGCCAGCCTGAGGTACGAGTGGGGCAGGACAGAACGTGTCACATCCGATCTGTACGACTGTCGCTTTAAGACCCCCATGGGTGAGGCTGCCCCTGAAGGACCCACTCATCAGAGCAGAATGGGCTTTTCCTGCGCCCCCCATTTCATGGGAAACTTAGACCTCAAAGCCCATGCTGGCCACACGGGTTTGTTTACTTTGTGAAAATCTACCAAGCACAGCGGACTCCCAGGATTTGTGCATTTTGAGTAAGAAAAGATTTTACTAAGGCTTATTTCAAGTTGGCAACTGATGGAAAGGAGGCAAATGACACACATATCATAGACTTGTATCTGAACTTAATGTTAGAATCTAGATAGATATGCAGTAAAACTGTCAGTAGCCTACGGACCATCCATTTTCTATTAGAAAAGAAAAGAAAAGAAAAGAAAAAGATCACTCAGGGTGGAGTGGACAGGCCTTTCCTGGAGAGGCAGAATTGCAAGAGCACAGACGAGACATCCTGTGGACCCTAGATTAAAGTCTTTAGAGACGGCAGACCCACCCCAAATGGCAATATACATTTTATATAGACAGTAAGCAGTCAGATCTTAGGGTTGGTGGAAGACTGGATGTAGGCAGGGTAGGGTGAGAGAGTGAGGCTGAGGACACTGAGGAAGCTTCCGTGGCCCCGACCTGGGTCATGCCAGTGAGAACAGGCAGGTGGTGACGGAGGTAGGCTGGTCAGCAGTTGCCTCTGCTCTGGCTCTCTTTCTACCAGGGCTACAGATGGAAACCCGAGTCACTGATGTTGGGAAACAGTGAATCCTCAGATAACTTAGAAGGGATTGTTTGTGGGTCACAGAGAACTTCCAGTGGAGACACTTGCTCAGGTGGAGAAACTTTTAAGGACACGAGAGTCAGGAATCCTGAAGGGCTAGTCGGCAAA